CGAACATAGACAAATAAGTGTGTAGGTGAACAAATAGATAGGTATGTAATTGTTCTTAAACCCTTGCTGACAGTTTGTTTTATCTATCATTAAAAAGTTGTCTGGTTTACTAAACAGCAACACAGAGTAAACCATAATTATCAACTGAAACACAACAATCACAAGACTAAGAGATATCCAAGAAGAAACTTTGCGATTTATGTGTTTGTAACATCACTGTTGGAAAAGACTTGCTTTAACAATAAGATGATTAAAAACAACCAGAAGAATCTATGGCATAGCACCTGAAAGCAAGTATGGTTAGAAAGTAGCATGTCCTTTGCAGAGCCTTGCTCCCATAACAACCCTTCAGAAAACTTTTCGATTAAAAGCAAGGTGACCTGCGTCCAATACACCCATTTGGAGATCATCCGCCACATCCTGCCCCCATCTTCTCTTTGGCCTACCTTTTCTTCTCTTCCCAGGCATATACCCCTCCATTATTATTCTCTATAAACTTTCGTGACGCTTCAAGCAAGTTGAGGTAAATAAAATTATGATCGTGCATTTTTGCCGTGGCACCTTATGAAAAAAAAAAATTTTAAATAAGCAATTTGGAGCTTTTTAACTGACATTTTACAAGAATGCCAAGACTATTTAACTGGCCACCCGCGGGCCAAATCTGGGAAACATTTGCATTGTATTAAAGATATTTCTCACTGGGGCTTGTACCTTTAGCCCGTGACGATCCCAATTTACAACATGCAGGCCCCCGAGTAAACTTATTTGAATAGCTCTGCCGTATACCAAGCGGAAGAAAACTGACTACATCCTGCATGACCTGAACATCAGGGAGAACTGACTCGTAAACAGCATCCTCTCCCGAAAGCTGGGCCATTTTGGACATGACGCGCGCCATGACGGTCTGGGGAGAACAGTGTTGGAGGGCGCTGTGTCCGGAAAACTTTGTGGAGGTAGACCTCCATGATGGTAGAAACCGGGCATAAAATATGCATGGGCTATGAAATCATACAGGGCTGGAGAATTGGCTAGAGAAGGGAAAATGGTCATGTTCACGTTTCCCGGATCATCTGCACACTACCGGACCTTTCATTCATACTTTCTCAAACTTATCTACGTCGGAGGTGTGTCACGTTGATTTTCTTCCAGTTACATGTCGCATACTAAACTACACAACCACACAGCTTTCAACGATTTCAGAACATGTAGAACTGGTCCTGACCCAAACCTCCTACCCACAGCCTCAATCTATGTCACATGAGAGGCTCTTATAGAAGAAAGCAGTGCCCTGCTCTCTAGCGTAGTTAGTTGTGGTTCACTCCAGGGGGTAGGCAGGGAAGCCATATTTCTCCCAGAATTACGGTACCTATCATGGAATCAAAGCCGAAGGGTTGCGATATCCATAGTACCGAGCCAAAGGGTCCAGAACTCAAGGTTTATGGATTAAAAAAAAAAAAAGAAGAAGAAGAAAGCAGTACAACGTGAAACACCTCTGGCCTAGAGCAGCTGAGAAAGTCTGTAGATGGGCCGGTAATCGTTAATAGGCCCGAAATATTCCTAGGCGCGCCGATAAGAGGGCGACTATTTCTAAACGAACTGCAGATTGTTTGATTAAACATCACTGTGCCTCTTCACCTTCAATGAGAGTGTAAAAAGGCTCGCCATCGTTAATTAAGTGCTAGACTTACCTGAATTGAAGAATCCTTTGCTGAATCTAGATGTCTTCTTTCTTGTGTGTGGCTATAATTTTATTCATTGAAACAAGTGCCTGTGACATTTCTTAACTCTCACATATCTCAGGAGATATTGAGTGTAAAATCGCCCAAAGTTTATTTCGCAATCGTTTTTTAAAACAGACATCTGTTGTGCAAAACCATAAAGAATTTACGATCTTTCCGCCGTATATTGACTACTTGGTTGTTATTCTCTGCTGTGTAGGTCCGAAGCACAGAGACATATATCTTATGCATTTCAGTCCCTGTCATTGAATGTCAGACAGTTCTTATTCTTCTTCACTCGTCGTTAAAAGGACGCTGCACATTGTGTTATGGTTATAAAGGACCTGCTACTGACATGCGAGTTCATAGAGGCAACCCACCTTGTGGTCTGATCTGAGCATACGAAACCCAGCGCAAAGAACACGAAGAAGAAGAAGAAGAAGAAGAAGAAGAAGAAGAAGAAGAAGAAGAAGAAGAAGAAGAAGAAGAAGAAGAAGAAGAAGAAGAAGAAGAAGAAGAAGAAGAAGAAGAAGAAGAAGAAGAAGAAGAAGAAGAAGAAGAAGAAGAAGAAGAAAAAGAATTGTTTTATGGTTGGTTTACAGCTAGACTGCGATAGTTGCATCTTTCAGCCCAACAGATCAAATTTCAGCAAGTCGTTAATAATTTTCCTTTCACGACAAGCGTTTTGAGGGGCGGTGGGTCGGGGATTACTGAAATGTTATGTCAAACGTGTTGTACTATATAAAAACACTTTTAATACCTGGGTCGCTTGGTCGTTGGGTGTGACATGACAAGAACGCTGACCTGATCCGTAATTCTGTCGATCGTAAAGGCGGGGGGAGGGGGTGGCAACTGCCGCCTACCCTTATCAGCAGGGCACATGATGATGATTGTGACAACGATGACGACTATGAATGATGATGATAGCTTAAATGACAATATACCATGAAATGTTAACGAGTAAGTTAGGAGAAGCTAGGACACCGCAGTTACGTATTTTGTAAGATGTACTCACATAAGGGTATCGATGCCCGATTGTTGAGCGGAAAGAACAGACTCACTGCCCCCAACAAGCATGTAGAAAGAGTCGACTAATTAGAGATGTTTCCTTCCAAGTCGGAGTGCATCTGCCTCAGAGGCTAAGAACCAGGAGTCTGTATGCAAATAAGCCAGATCTGTAAAACGGATATGCATGCAAAACTCAAGTTCTGGAAAAAAAATGTGGACGAACAACCAAAACCGTCGGCTGGAGTTTACAGCCGGTGAACGTGAAGAACAAGAAGAAGATAAGGTCTATATTTTCAATATTGTTGTGTAGCCAGAGAAATCAACAAAGATCGATTGATACAAGTCATTTATTAGTCGAACGCTATACTCAGTTAACTGTTTCATTACCAGACAACTCACTATATTTTTCTTGACGATTGTATTGAACATATAATGTCCTTTCTGTCCACAATCACAGGCAGATGTTTCAGTGACCTTTTATGAGGGAAGTTCAATCCCACCAGGACCATACAAAGAGCGATAAACAACCGGTGACACAAAGTACCACCATTCGGATGAGAACCACCCATGCCCACGTCCCAGAAACCCTGTTTATCCGTAAGGTTATGTTAGGGCATCTGACGAGAACTGGATAGGGCTTTAAGTATTAGGCCCATAACCCTTTGTGTCTGAATCCTTAGTTCTAACTATCTTTGTTCGGTGGTGTCACTGTTGGACAACTTCAGGCTTTGTTGTGTATAACTTGCAAGCTCAGCATCTTGTGATAGAAGGAGTTCCAGTAACAGATAACTGGGATTCAACCATCTGGTAACATTTCGACGACCGGAAAGATTATTGTTTTGCAGAGACACATGAAGATAAATCATACAGGATGGTCTGAGACAGTGATTGTCAACTTATGGGTCGCGATCCTTTTTTGGGTCGAACGACCTTTTTACAGGGGTCGCCAAGGAACATCGCAAAACACAAATTCGCAGAAGTTATGAAGTAGCAGCGAAAGTAATTGTATGTTTCTGGGGTCGCCACAACAAGAGAACTGTTTTAGAGAGTCGCGACATTAGGAAGGCGGAGAACCACTGGTCTAAGACACCAAGAATACATTAGGGGACTGGAGAACCTTAGTTTCCGTTTAATTTCTAGGCAGCTGTGGCTTTAGTTTTGTTTAATTGCGCATTAATAATAATAATGATAATTTATTCATCACGTGCCCTGCCGATGGCTTCTCCGCAGCTCTAGGTCCTTTTCCTATGGATCAATTCCACCAGTGATATCCCTCCATCGCAGTCCATCCGTGACCTTCTAAGTGTCTCTGCCTTACCCTCTTTTACCGTTGATCTTCCCTATAGTCACAAAACTCGCCAAAGCCCCCCCCCCCCCCCCCACCCATCACATGACAGAAGAACATTGTTTGTCTTTTTCTTATCATCATCATCATCATAAACCACTTCTGCCGTTAAGCGCCGTTAGGAGGAATAATTTGCGATCCAGTGCACGTTGGCTGCCACTGGCTATTGTCATGCCGTGAAGGCGTAGAGTGTCTTTAATGTTGTCGATCCATGTTTTCCGCGGCCGTCCTCTTGCTTTTGTAGCTGATTTTCTGAAATGTAGTGCTTGTGAGGGTATTTGCTCTTGCTGCATTCTAACGAGATGGCCAAACCACTTGATCTGCTGTTTCTCGATGAATCTAGTACAAGGTGTCGTTCCCACAATTTGCCTGATAGTTTCACTATTCACTTTTTCCTATAGTTGCATATAATGAACTGATTTCATTAGCTTCCTTCAAGCAATCCTCGTTACTCTGGTAGCCCGGTGGATTCTTAACATTCGCCTGATAAATCACATCTCCGTCGCCTCCAAGTTTAATAAGAATAACAACAACAACAACAGTGTACTGAATTTTTAAAATAAAATATAATGTGTGAATGGATAGGCGGACCACAGCACCATTGTTAATTTTCATAAACAATTTAGAGTGGGGAAAAGGCATCTAAGTCCCAGGTTCCTGTGTCCCCGCTAAAACGGTGTATTTGGGAATGCTATGAACATTATTAGTTTGGAAAGTCAGGTACCGAGATCTGTCAAAGGTCGTGAATGTCTACTCCATTTAGAAAGGCACATGATGATGATGCACTATTCCTGTTCTTCAAGTCTATTCCCGGTCCACATTTTATGTCTAACCACCGGAAGTAAAGGGGGGAAAGGGAATGGATTGTCTGTTGTTTTAGTTTTTATTTATTTATCTACGGCTATAGGTGAAAAATTAACCGTTAAAAAATGGCTACTATGCCAAAATGCGAGGAACTTTCATATCCTTTTTGTCCTGATGAATCAAAGTACGAGAAATTGGCCAAAATCGGACAAGGAACGTTCGGGTATGTTAATGGCAAGTCGTTTATTCCCATTATTATGAATTGATTGTTGATGCCATGGTGCACGTTGTTGTTTTCGACAAACAGCTCACTATATATTTCTTATTATTATTGACAGTTACAAGGAAATGATGGTCTTGCTGTCTTCTACCACCAAATAAAAGTTAACTGAACTTTTTTGTCTGAACTGACAGAACTGAACTAGTTCAAACTAAATAAAAAATTCAAGTTGTCAGAATTTCAACTAACTAAATCGAAATCTTTGAATTTCAGTTGCCATGCAGAGCTGGGAGAAGCTGTTCAGTGTTATTTATTACACTTAATAAATAAATAATAAATCTGTTGATTATAAAAATCTGACTGCCTAGTTGTTATGTCTCCGTATTACTATATGATGCAGGTTTTTAAAAAAACTGAATTATGCGCCCCTTCCCCCCCCCCCCCCCCCACTTCCATAAACAAAAAGACATAATAATTATAGAGTAAATTAAAATTGTATCCTTGTTTCTGCAGGCCACACCCATACTAATTTTACTATGAGTATCACATGACTTTTTGGAATTGAACACAGCAGCAGAAACTCTTCTGTGTGAAACAGCACTTTTTTGTTTTTTACACATGATATAGTGACCATACTTTTGCTGTTGTAAACAGCATAGCAAATTTGAGTAAAACACACTTTAGCTTAAATTGATGGTGAAGTCAGTCTGTCTGTAATACTTTTATAAGCCAGAGGCTTATAATAAATTAACTTCCTCTGTAATTTCTAGCTACTCTGACATTACATATGTAGAGACAACTTATAAACTGATAGATTATTGGGCTATCCTACGAATAACGGTCAGTAAAGATAGCGGCCGCAAAATATCCTTTCGAGCCACAGTCACGTGTCAACTGCGCACTTCAGGCGACTCAATTTGGGGTTTTCCGGCCACTACCGCCATCGCTAGCGCGGCGTGGATTGGGGCTAAACTAGATGGCTAGGGCCCACGAGCAGCAGCTTCTGCATCTCCTGAAGCTTTGCTCGCGAGTCCTAGCCATCTAATTTAGCCCCAATCCATGGGGGACTCGTGGCGGTGGCAGAGAACCGCAAATTAGGTCACGTGACTGTGGCTCGAAAGGATATTTTACAGCCGCTATCTTTACCGACCGTTATTCGGAGGATAGCCGATTGTTGCTTTGCGTTACATGTATATTATAACTGACTTGTCTCCATAGGGAAGTATTCAAGGCCCGAGACAAGAAAACCAAGATGGTGGTTGCCATGAAGAAAGTTCTGATGGAGAATGAAAAGGAAGGTGTAAGTTAAGTTTCCTGCTTACTTTGATTCACAGACAAGTAAGATATCACTTCATTTGTCAGATACCTGCTCACTTTGATTTACAGCCAAGTAAGATATCACTTCATTTGTCAGATATTTGTTCTCTCTTAATTTCAGTCAGTTAGTTGTATCCTTAAGAGGACATTGCAGGATGAACCCTGGCATTTGTTGATTGTTTTTTGTTTTACTAGGCAATTTTACGCTCAGTAGTTTGCCATTGCTATCTGAACAGTTGGCTTTCGATACCTCTGTCAAAATCTGCGTGAGGCAGTCAACCTAAATTTCAGTATGATTCCATTAAGTTATTGTTAAGATGCTACCTCTGTTCATTTCTTCTTCTTGGCTTTCACCAGCTGTAAACTCTGGCGGAGAGTTCTGGTTGTTCGTTCCCATCTGGACTGCAGTCCTGTTCCAGAACCTGAGTGTTGCGTGTGCATCCGATTTACAGATGTGTCTCATCTGTATGCAGACTGCTGGTTCCTTGCCTCTCAGGCAGATGCACTCCGACTTCGAAGGAAGCTCCCAATTAGTCGACTTTAAGGCATTCTTTTGGGTAGGCAGTAAGTCTATTCTTGTTTTCCCTATAATAGGGGCCCGGAACCCACACGGAAATCTTTTCATTTTAAATACATGAACAGAGGAATTAGAACAGCAAGTTTGCAATACTATCCTCTGGCGATCAAAAGAATAAGCTATTTAACACTGTCACCCCATGACTTAGAAAAAAGATGTTGCCAAAGTCACATATTTCATGAATTCCCAAAAAAATATCAATTTAAAAAAACAAAAGCATTTTACACATATCACACACATCACAAAAAATAAATTAAAAAAATAACCAAAGAATACTCTAAAGGTGAAGCAGGGTAATCAGCACAGACGACTGCATCTGAGAATTAACTAGCCTCATCTCCTTGAGTTAAAATATAATTCTAGTATGTCATTTACTTGGCTAGATAACCCTGTGGCTAATAGGGGAAATATGATATTATAATTTCTATTTTAAAAGCCATTTGTTTACAAGGAAACCCCCTAAATGCTGTTCATAGTCAATCTGATTCATTCTAATTAAAATAAACATATATTATCAACAAGAAGCCGCCTTAAGGATTGACAACCAAATTGGAACTTTTTAAAACAATACACAAGGCATTAGACAGGGATGTGTACTATAACCTTATTTATTTAGTTTGTACAGTGAAATAATAATTAGATTCATACATGATATGCCAGGAATATCAGTTGGTGGGCATATTGTTAATAACCTGCGATATGCTGGCAATATGGTTTTCATTTGCTGAAAATGCAACACAACTGCAAGAAATGTTGGATATAATTGTAACGGAAAGCAAAAACAAGGGTCTTAGAAAAACAGAAGTGGTCATTACAAAGAAAACGGACACTTCAAAATGTATCATCAAAGTTAATGGAACAAACCTCAAGCTAGTTGATATGTTTAACAACTTGGGTCTACCAGATAACATCAGATGAAAAATGTATTAAGGAAGTTAAATGTCGATAGCTCAGGCAAAAACAGCATTTGAAAAAAATGAATATTTTATGCAATCATTCTTTGTCAGTAAAGACGAGAAAGAGCATTTTTAATAGCTTTATAAATCCTATATTGATTTACGGAGGTGAATCATGGACAGTTGGTAATTAGTGAAAACTTATTTGGAAGCTGCGGAGATGTGATTTTATAGACAAATGATGAGAATACCCTGGACAGATAAAATGAGTAATGAAACTGACTCATGAAGAGAACTCATTGCCCACATCAGAAAGAGACTATCTACATTCTGTGGTCATGTGATGAGAAGGAGAACACCTAAGTACATCATAACAGTAGGAAAGTTGGAGGAGAGGCAGAGGGAGACCGAGAGAAAAGATGCTGGGCAGTTTGACATCATGGCATGGGAGATCATCTGTATCAGTTGATTAAAAATATACGAGACAGAAGGTTGTGGATAGACATGACTAGCAGCACCACACAGCATGGATTTTAAGAAGAAGAATAATTCATTCTGGTCCTCCTAAATGTTAGTGTCTAAGAAACTGATACTAGTGCTAATAGCTATGCATAATGTAAGCAAGCCACTGTAGCAAGTTGATGAAGCAGATCTTCCAGAGAATGCATCCAACTGGACCTGTTGGTTTTGTGGCTTCTCGGGACAGCTGGATTCTGCATTTACTTAATGATTCATTGAATAGTCTATTCAGTGAGCCATTAAACAGTGTATTCTTTGAATCATAAAAAATGTTCGCTTGAAATGGAATCTTACCATTATAAAGCACATTGTATTTCATAAGGCATATAAAATATATTCACTTGAAACAGAATCTCACTGTTGTAAAAGAAACTACTTTGGTATTAGATCTTGGCTGGGATCTGAAATTCTCCCTATTGCGCACATTTTTGCACAGTATATTGACATTGTGTTGTGGTTCACAGCTAGGCTGGGTTAACCTGCAAGCCCAGGTCATTAATAAAAATCCGCACGTGACGGTTAATCAGATTATCAAAACGTTTTGTAAATAGCATCCATTCTTCTTGTTTGTTTCCCCTTAAAAGGTTGGTTGACTATGTGTTATGGTTCAAAGCTAGGCTGTGATATCAGCCCAACTCATCTGATTTCTTTAAACTTGTAATTAGTCGCCTTCTCCAACAGGTATATTGAGGTTGAGGGGGTGAATCTGTTCCCTTCCTCCCCTAACTGGGGCCTTCTACCCATATGAGGAATAGAATCTATCAAGATTTCTTCCAGCAAGATGATGAATGGAGTAAAAGTAAAAGTAGAACATTCATGCTGGAGAGAACAATTTAAAAAGAGAAATTCTGATATTGTCTGTCCACAGTTCCCTATCACAGCCCTGAGAGAGATCAAGATTCTGCAGGTTCTGAAAAATGACAACATTGTGAACTTGTTAGAAATCTGCAGGGCTAAAGGTAACTTCTTGGGTGCATCTGTCTCCCTAGATGCAGCATCTGTCTTCCTAGATGCAGCATCTGTCTCAATAGATGATAACAGTATATTTCTTTATATTATGTCTTTGGAATTGGCTTTATTTTGATTCTGAAACCAGCTTTTGTTATCTTTCTGGTTTTTAAATCAGCCTTTGTTATCTTTCTGGTTTTTAAATCAGCCTTTGTTATCTTTCTGGTTTTTAAAATCAGCCTTTGTTATCTTTCTGTTTTTTAAAATCAGTCTTTGTTATCTTTCTGGGTTTTTAAATCGGCCTGTTATCTTCCTGTATATTGAAACCTGTATTTGGTCTCTTCATATGTATTTACAGCAGTTTATGTTATCTTTCTGTGTATTGACATCAAACTTGTTACCTTTGCACAGTTGAAATCAGCCTTTCTTTTTGAATGTGCAGATCCACCAGTTATTTTTATCTGTCGGTTTAAAGCAGTATTCTAGCTCTTGGTGATTTTACATGTTATTTGAAAATTTCCAATTGGTTAACGAATCTATAAATTTGACAGAGGAACATAATGTTTATTTTTCTTTTTCTTTTGCATCCTAAGCACTTGAGGTTCAGTGCTGCAGTTATCTCCTGCCTCCATCACCATGACATTTTACATATGTATTGTCGTTTTATTGTGACCGAGTACTTCCATCAACAACAAACTGTATTTCTGGTGGCGACTGTTGGCTTTGGTGCCTCTGGCAATCGCCATATGCATTTATTGTGTGCGCAGATTTCTGTATTGTGCTGGGACAATTGTTTGTTCACCAGTTTTTCAAATGGGACAGTGGGGAATATATTTAATTTGATATTCACTGGCATAGGAACAGATCAAGTATAAGGTGACCCAGTTACAGTGAAGTTGAACCTCGACTAGGACTACCATCTCCATGACATTCTGGAAATTGTTTGGTACCCATTTGTACGATGCTACAAAGCAGATGTGGTCAAGGCCCTTCGGGAACAAGCAACTGAATCAGTAGAGAGAAGTCAGAAGAGAAACAAGATTATTATGGCCTGGAGAGAATGAGGCTCCTGGGTGTAACTAGAGGGTTTTGCCGGATCACTACACTTAGAAGAAAGGTGAGACGGACAAATAACCAGATTGAGACTTGTACCATTAGTATTGGAACTCTGCGCTGGCTGTTTAAGTTGAGGAGGGAGCACACATGGGAATTCCCTGAGTGCTGTGATGTCAGTTCTTGACTCAACTCTTTTACGATGCTGGTTTGGCCTTAGAACTGTACTAGTTGGATTACATCCTACCATTTCTTGGGATTGACCATGGATCACTGTCTTGTAAAATGTAAACAAAAATTTTGCGAAGTAATTGCTATCAAACAGATACAATTAATCCCGTTAAAATTAGTAAAGGACCCATCAAGAGATGGATGGGCAGCAGTTTGATAGAATATACAACCAGGACAAGAGACAGAGTGTGTTGGAGATCCATTGCAGCCAACTTTCATTGTGAAGATGGCACCTGACTGAAATGACCCTATTGACACCTTTGGTAAATCGAGTATATAGTGCTAGAGTTATATTTTTATAGATCAGCCGGCACTCTGTGAGTGATGTGGTCAACATGACACCGGCTGCATTTTTTTCTCGGGACATGCTTCTTACTCATTTTAAGCTGGATCTTTCTGGGAGCCCAAGTCAGTGTAAAAAAAAAAAATGATAGATCTTATGAGTGTTTATTATTATGTTTGAAGTTTGGTCTCAGTCGAATCTTGTTCTTCTCATTCACTCTTCACTTCTGCTGTAGCTGTGTATTGTAATTGATTCTATGTTCTTTCTAGCCACCCCTTACAACCGGTACAAGTCCACAGTCTATCTGGTGTTTGAGTTCTGTGAGCATGACCTGGCTGGGTTACTAAGCAACCCTCAGGTGAAATTCAGCTTGGCAGAGATCAAGAAGGTCATGCAGCAGTTACTTAATGGACTGTACTACATTCACAGGTAATAACTGCCAACCTTTGTGATTGCTGTTTAGCTATCTGGCTTTGAAATTAGTGAAATTGTTTCACAAAATATACATTTTGCCTAGGTAGTATCTTATTTGACCTGCTGCAGCTATCGTTGACTAATTTTTCTTTCTTTCATATTCTTTTTTCTTTGCATTCACCAGCTTTAAAATCCGGCAGAAAGTTCTGCTTGTTCACTCACTTCTGGACTTTATTCTAGTTTGAGAATTTGTTTAGCGTGCCATTTGTTACATTGTGAGACAGTAGATGGTAAACTTACAAATGAGGTTGAGAATTTGTGAAAAAAAAATTTCTCTGACACAGTCCTCCTTTTGAACAGTGTAAAGAGAATAGAAAATTTAATTTCATCAGTCCCAAAACAAAGTAATGATCAAAATCTATTCTTCAATTTAAAGAAAACATAATGTCCACAGATAAAACTGGCTGTCACCCAGAAAATAACAGTAAATGATAAAAAAAATTGAAAATGTCACAAACTTTGAATATCTAGGCTGGATGATAAATAGCAGTGGAGTGTGTTTTACAGAGATCAAAAGGAGGATGGTCATAGCAATGCAAAAATTTAACAGTCTCTGGTCAAGCAGCAGCAAAGAAATCAAATTAAAATTTTGAGAGCATGCATCTTCCCTGTAGCAAAATTTCGATGTGAGTCGTGGACTATCTCCCAGTCCTTAAGAAAGAAAATAGGCCTTTTGAGCTGAACTGCTATAGAAAGATTCTCAGAATACCACGGACAAAGAAAAGAAGAAATACAGACATTTTAAAAGATTTGGACATCAAGGAAGATTGGCTAATAAATAGCATCTTGTCTCAGAAGCTGAAATATTTTGATTATATCAAGGACCATGGCAGATTGGAAGAAATAATAGCAGAAGGCATGGTACCAGGAAGGAAGGGACAGGGGCCGGCCAACTCAAAGATGAGCACAGGTTAAATGTGACTTCTTGAATACGACAGTATATCAGGCGGTAGAGCTGGCGAGAGACTGAGTTTCTTTCAGGCAGACCATGATGAGAGCGATGCTCTACAAAGGACCTGCTACATGATAATGAGATTTCTCTGTTATAGAAGAATGCAAGAACAGTATTTTGTCTTTGGGGTGATAAAGAAAAGTATGGAGAGTTGTTTGGTACTCCTGCCTGAGAATTGTTCAGGCAGTACATATGTGAAAGATACCTGTTTTTGTTCTAGATTTTAGTTTTAAGGGTAGCTTAAATGTTACTTCTGTTTTGCAGCAACAAAATTCTGCACCGAGACATGAAGGCGGCCAATATTCTCATCACAAAGACAGGCAAACTGAAATTAGCAGACTTTGGTCTTGCTAGAGCTTTCAGGTAAAACATGTTTACCTATAGACTGCTGATTCTGTGGTTTTTTTTTCTTGTATATTGATTCTAATATTGTTTGTTTGTTTGTAGATTGTTTGTGTGTTCCTTGTCTTGAAGATCTTATATTTGTATTATGATACAGGTATCATGCTTCAAATGATTGCATCTCCTCATTTTGTATTGATTGTTCAATCATATATTTATCTTGTAAAATGTCTATGTGATTATATCAAGTCTTGTAGATTGTACTGTCTCTCCATTATCTTGTAGACTTATGATATCTTTCTCATGTAGACTTATTGTTTGACCATATTTGTATGTGTAGACAGTTTGTATGATTATGCCATTATGTTGTAGGTCTGATGGATATATCTTTATCTTGTTGATCATATGATCATATTATGTTGTAGACTTTGCATGAACTATGTTAACACTTTTTGTATTCTAAGGGTATGATTTACTGTGCATATTGATGTTACTTTCAATAAATAGATTTAGCTTACAATCCAATGTCATTCTTATGAAGGTGCAGAACAGCAGTGGTGGAGGTAGGGGGTATCTTGAAGCCGGAGGATTAAGACCTGACCAGTGTTGTCCTCTTCGTGGCATTTACAGGCTAAAAACTGGACTTCTTTAGTCTTGTCTAGAATTTGAGTGTTGTGTGCACATCCGGTTTACAGGTCTGCCTTATTTGTATGCAAACTGTTGATCCCTCGCCTCTAAAGCACACTTACTTAAAAATAGAGAACTCCCCTAAATAGCAGACCTTTACGACATGCTTATTAGTGTGTCGGCGCCTATGGCTTAGGCATTGTGAACGTGCTTTGTACTGCCGGGGTTCCGGGTTCGACCCCAGCTGCGGGCCTTGCACCTTGCGTTGGTTTTGACCGTGGTATTGAGAAGCCGACCGTCCAGAAAGCATTGGCAAACTACTGGACATAAATTTGCCTAGAAAAACTACAACAGCCAAAAAAAAAAGTGCTGGGGTTGGTTCTGCAAAATCCTGTAAAGGATCGAAGCTAACTTTTTTTTTTTTTCAATCAAGGCAGACAGTGGGTCTATTCTCCCACTCCCTACAATAGTACCCTGGAACTCACATAGAGATATCAGTGTTTTGAACCTGGGTATCTCAGAAGAGAGCCCAGCATTCTATTCGCACCAGTCTCCTCATTTTATTGACATAGTTGGTAAAAGACATTATTGTTCAATTATTGTCCCTGTGTGGGTTCCAGGTCCCATTGTGGGGAGAACAGAAATAGACCCACTGCCTCCCCAACTAGCATGTCGTTGGAGGAGTCAACTAATTATGGGACTTACTTCAAAGCTGGAGTGCATCTGCTTGAGCTCCAAGAAACAACCAACTGCACACAAATAAGCTGTTAAAACAGTTGTACACGTAAAACCCAGGCCCTGGCACAAAGCCAAAGTCTAAATGGACAAGCAACCAGGATTCAGCCGGTGGGCAAAGAAGGAGAAGAAGCAGCAGCTCATTTATTGTTAACATTAGAGCCATTGTAAATCTTCACTCTCTGATTCTTCATTTGTTGTTAAGAACAAATGATTGAATGTAAAATCTTGCAGTTGACTGTAAAATAAATTATTTGTACTTTTTAATAGTGACAAACTGAACCGGTACACAAACCGGGTGGTTACCTTATGGTATCGGCCCCCAGAGTTGCTACTGGGAGAGAGGAACTATGGGCCAGCCATTGATTTGTGGGGTGGCGGTTGTATCATGGCCGAGATGTGGACTAGAAGCCCAATCATGCAGGGTAACACAGAACAACACCAGGTTAGTATACGGAACTTTTTAAAAAAATGGTAATTTTAAAATCATTTGCATATCCTTACAGGATGTTGCAATCCTGACCCCAGCATGTTCAGGCTATTTTTCTTTTGCTAGCCAATTTTATATTCAGTAGTTTGCCATCTTTTTCTTAATCTTCAGCGCTTAGTAATTTTTGTGTGTGTAATCTTTTCTGAGCAGTTGGTTGCCAAATCACTGGAATCTAACTGGGTATTTTGGAATTGAAAAGCGTGTTTACAACATCTATGCTGAAAGTGGTCTGCAGATTCAAATTAAACGGGTATATTTTTGTCTGCCTTTGATTCTTTGAGGTTAACCCAGCCTCGAGAAAGTAAGTACTAGGCACTTAAAAATATCTTCCAAGGAGAGGTGATGAGGAGGGAACTGGACACTCCTCCTTATATCTCATGATCTACTTTGTGAAAATACAATGGCTTTATATGGGACACACACTGAGAAAAGTATAACATAGAATAGAATGACATCCGGTTAAAATGGACGCTAGACAGCGGCGCCGTTCGGAACAGAGGCAAATTTTTTGCTTCTGCCGGACGGTGGCCGATGCATTTCTGCTCCATTTGTAGACTGTAGATATAGTTTCGTCGCCCAGCTTCTGAGTTGAATGCATGGTGTGACCCTGTGAGCTGCGGATTGCATTTGGAATGTTTTTTTTCGACTGTGACCAACGTGGTGGTGTGAATTGTAGATTCAGAAAATGGCGCGATGCCTGTCGTTCAATGCTGGCGGGGCCCGTATTAAAATTGATCACGCGGACAACTGCTGATCTGTTGACGACAAGTTCTGCTATCATCAATGATGAACTGCATTTCTAATGTTGGACTGTTTGTGTTAGCACTTCGGATGGCTACCATATGCTTTAATGCGAGTGTATGCTAGATATGCTGAGACAGCAGTCTGTCGATCTTTCCACAAGGGACTGTGATAGACATTCTGAGTGTTTTTCGCTGGCACAGGAGCGGAGCAAAGATGGGGCAACCCGTTTGCTATGAAGCTGAAACTAAGACTACCAGACCAGACATAGAATATCCTTGCATTAAAAACCACCTGGGCATAGATAAACACAGGCCAAAAAACCATATGGAAAAGAGAGCTAGAGAGTGAAGTGAAACGATAGCCAGGATGTGGAGTGGGCTGCATGCAATAGCAAAGAATAGGATGGCTTGGCAAGGCAAGAGATGGTGGAAGGCCTATGCTACATTGGAGGATAAAGGCGCAGAAGAAGAAGAAGACGTGGCCTAATATTTGACACCCAAGTGACGGTAACTGCTAAACAACTACCTTTACTTTCATCATAATCATCCATTGTGCCATCTGTATGTCACATGGGGCTTGCAGTCTACTCCTCCTTTTCTATTCTGTTATGTGCAATCATTTCCCAATCATGGATGGAATCCAGTCCAGCACATTTGGCCTCTCTCATCAGTGTTCATTTTAGAATTTCTCATGGACATCCTTGTTTCGTATGTTTCCCATTCCAGTACCTTTACTTTACGGATGTAAGTATTTTATGGAACCTCTGCTTGAGATGACTGGGCACATGTTCTGAGAGGTTTTACTCCAGCCTCTTATAACTAATCAAGAAGATGCAAGATGGGTGGTTGTGGAGAAATATATTGGATGAGCTGATCATCATGGGGACTGATGATAATGAATTTTTTTTTCTTGATGCTAATATCATTTAATAAATGCCTGACTTAGCATTTTCAAGTGTTTCATATCTTTGCACCAGTATCACACTTAACTCTTTTGGTTCCACAAGGTTTCACAGTAGACAGTGCCCTAGAAAGGAAGTAACTAGGAAAATAATGAGTGTATAACTTTTAAAGAGACTAAGGTACACTGTAAAAGTGGCCAGTGCGGATGGCAGATAATTTATTGTGCTTTGACCAAATGTTAAAAGTTACTAATTACTGTTGGTAGTGGTTTAAGGGGAAGTGCCGGTTACACATCACTCATTGTTTGGGGCCAGAAGAGTTGATTGAGGCTGTGGACCTGAAACTTAAGAGTCTCTCTGAGTTTCTTTGTGATTTGAATTTGAGCATCGCCAAACCCTTGCATTTGTTGAGCCATAATCTACCCGCTGTGCAACCTTTTACAAATACTTGAATTGATTTTGGGAATTTCTTTGGATCTGCAGACAGTCCTTTTACTTACTTCTTCCTTTACCAGTTTGTACCAAATTGTACTTTTGCAGAGTTCCTATATTATCTTTGTATTTTGTTCTTGGTCTGCCGTTTGCTGTACGTTTTCTGCTCTTTTCGTGTATATCTGTGATGTATGGCATCTCTCTTAGTAGGCAGACCATTTGGTTGCTATCATTGTTCATAATTTAGTATTGGTTCTGTGTAGGCCTTTTATCCAATGACATAATTCCTGAATCCATCTCTGCTGATTACTCCTGCAGCCGTTATCGGATTTATAATTTCCATGGTTACTAATTTTCTTTTGTTTGTGTCGTTAGCGACCATGTCTAGAAGTGGTAGCATAGAGTTGAGGTAAATGTGCTTTCTATGAGATGTTTCTTTCTGTTGATTTGGGAGTGTCTTATATTGTAACATCTGTCTTAATTCTTGGTTTATTTACTGAATCAGATTTTTGTCAGGAATCCTGAATTACTACCCTTCTCTTCTCTCCCCCCCCCCCCACATAGCTTCTCAGGGGGGAAGAGTTAATTATTACAGTTGCTTTCTACTGCTATACTTTTAGAAATTGACATTTTTAAAAAAAAAACTGCAAATACTGGCCTGTTTTTGCAACTCTTGTTGTGTATGCAGAGATGACTTTGAAACTGTAGATTTATGGCTACACAGCTAGTGCAGTCACCACAGAGTGTGTTGGCTAGGATTTCATTTGTGCCCCGTACAAAGAAAAACTCATAGTCTTATCAAGGATTCAAACCTAGGGTTCATGCACGAGAACCCACGATTCTTGTCCATTTGGTGAGCCACTTCTCTTTTATAAATAAAAAAAAAAAGGGCCTTTTCACTCCTCCAACCCCCTTTTTACAGAGGTGTATATACTGCTATACTCATATTTGTAAAGACCAATCAGCAGCACTCACTGGGGGATGTTGTCAGCATCATACCAGGAGAAAACACTACTGAGAGATTTGTAACCTCTATATTTTTCCACAGCTGACCCTCATCAGCCAGCTTTGTGGTTCCATCACCCCAGAAACCTGGCCAGGAGTGGACAAGCTTGACCTCTTCAACAAAATCGAACTGCCCAAGGGTCAGAAGCGCAAGGTGAAAGAGAGACTTCATGGCTACGTCAAGGACCAGTATGCCCTTGACCTTCTGGACAAACTCCTAACACTTGACCCAGCCAAGCGGGTCAACTCTGACGATGCGTTGAACCATGACTTTTTCTGGGTGGATCCCTTACCCCAGGACTTGAACCACATGCTGTCCCGGCACAGCAAATCAATGTTTGAATATCTGGCACCCCCTCGGAGGCGAGTCCCAATACACCAGCCGCCCCAACAACCTGGAGTCGTCCGGCCCGCAGCTCATAACCCGGATCAGCATTTTGAAAGGATTTTCTGAGACTGAAATTTATAAAGCTGTTATGTTGTGGCTGTAAATAAGTTTCTGGCAGGAGTAGCATTTAAAATTGGCAGATTGTACAACCAGGAATGTTACAGTTGATCTTTTCTCTACATCAGAGGGAAAGGCCCACTGATGTAGCATGTATGTCGTTCTCATCATGGTCTGCCTGAAAGAAAACCGGTCTCTCACCAGCTCTCCTGCTATGTGTACTTTCAAATTCAAAGAGTCACTTATATCCTGTGCCGATCTTCGTGTTAGTCTCACCCCTCCCCTCCCCCATCTGGTACCATGCCATTATCTATTCCAATCTGCCACAGTGCTTGATATGACCAAAATATTTCAGCTTCTGAGACAAGATACTGCCAATTTGCCTTATTCAGTTTTTCTTTGAATGTCAGTGTTTTTTCTCTTCTTTGACCATGGTATTCTAAGAATCTGTCTATAGCATTTCAGCTCAAAAGCCTCTATTTTCTTTCTTAAGGACTGGGAGAAAGTCCACGACTCACATCCATATGTTGCTGCAGGGACGGTACATGCTTTCAAAATTTTATTTTTGATTTCCTTTCTTGTGCTAAACAATTGACTTTTAATCCAAAGAAAACAACACTTAATGAACATTTTATTATTTGATATATCTGTGTAAGGGATGTAAATCCTGTCCTGATATTTGGAAGTAAATCATGGGCATTTGGTCGATTAGTGAAGAATTATTTGAAAGCTGTGATTTTTTTTAAAGGCAAATGAAGAGAGTACCCTCGAAAGATAACAAGAATAAGGAAGATGCCTTGAAACAAACGAACTCACAAACAGAACTGATTGCCTTCATCAGAAGGAGACAATCTGCATTCTTTTGTCATGTTATGTGGAGGAGAAAACTGGAAAGTTGGAGGGGATGAAAGGCACAGGGAAACCGAGAGAAAAGATGCTGGACAATTTCACCACATGATAAGGAAGATCGTCTGTCAGAATTGAATGAAAGTATATGAGGCAGAAGGTTGTTGAAAGACATGGCTACCAAGACCACACGGCAAGGATTGTAAGAATAAAGTGTGAGACAAGACTCCAAGAAGTATTTATACAAGCCAGAACTCTGCTTTCTGTGTGAAGACATATGTTGTCCAGACACAGCAAATCTGGCATAGAGTTGGTTTAAACATGCTTTATACCAGATTTTTCTTTGTGTTGATTGTGTGTGTCTTATGTTGTAACGGCTGTCCCAATTTTTGAATTGTTTGCTGAATCAAATTTTCTTAGAAATCCTGGATTACTACCCCTTTTTTTTTTCCCCAACAGGTCTTCTGAGGGGAAAGGGTTAGTTAATACCATCTTAGTAACCGTGTAACTGCCTAGAGTTTGTCTAACATCTCAGACCTTCAAGCCATCACAGCTACCATTCTTATCAGTTGTAACTGAAAATGACAGGGAAAAAATGTTAGTCTGCAGAAGCTTGAAAATGAAACAAACTGTTTTGTAATGAGAGTGTATACTACACACTATCCACTTTGCTGATGGACACTGAATCATCATCGTCCATCATGTTTATCTCCACATCAAAAGAGAGCTTTGTCTCCAGTATCTTCTGTCCTTAATCTTGTTGAACTCATACAGACATCTTTCAGTTCATCACTTCATGTTGGCTGCTCGTGTATAATGTTTTTACCCTCTTGCTTAGACCTTACATTTCTCTCCATCACAGTACAGATAATAGATGGCATCTCAGTCAAGCTGTCATCTGTCATCATCAAGTTGTTGAGTCACAGCTTGAGGCAAGAGAGTTTGGGGAACTTCCCATCTGGAAAAAAAAATTGAGTGAGGGTATGAACATTGCAGGGGTCAGGAAAGGGTCAGTTGTAGGATTTATCATGAAAGCAGGATAGTTGTCTTGGACCATTAATTTCATTTGTCACCCAGTGTGAGATAATAACATAAGATTTACAAGTTATTAAGAATGATAGTAACCTGAAGCACCTACATGTCTGCTGTCAGAGAAATTATCGTTACTTCCACAGGCTTGTGTTCATGAGTTTAGCTTCTGTGAAATGTTTTATTTGATGTACATATTTTCATGTTGTTTAAAGTTTTTAATCGTTTTTGTGATTCCATTGTCACCTGTGGTGTTTTCTTTCATTGTTTGGTCCAAGTAGATGTGACTTATTTAATTTTCCTACCGGCATTGAAATGAAAATATTTGACAAGCCCCCGTGTAACTGCCCAGACTTTGTCTAACATCTCAGACCTTTGACCCATCATAGCTACCATCCTCATCAGTTGTTTAATAAAATAAAATAAAAAGTATTTTTGTGTTTTGTTCTTGTTGGTGTTTGTGTAACCACAACAGGAACAAATTGTAAGTTTTATTTGTGAGAATACACAAATTATCTGACATGATTTATTGTCTTATATTCCTCATGTGGATTCTAGGGCCCCAGTTTGGAAGGAAAAAGAATGAACCCACTGCGTGCACACACATAACCCCCCACACCCCTTTCCCAGGAAGTATGTCATTCATCATCAAGTGCCTTGTCAGCTGGCGTAGGTGTTCATGCATCTCCACAGGTCTCGATCCATGGTGTTCTGGATCAGTTGCACTGATAATATTCCTCCATGCCACTGTCTTAAGCTATCTGCCATCATTTCTCTTGGTCTGCCTCTGCCTCGTCTGCCAGGGATCTTTCCAGTTGTCATGATATTTTCCAGTGCTCATTTTCACGTCATTAAAGATGACAAATTGGGGGTTTGCTAGAATCAGATGTGCTGAGCTAAAAGGTATGAATGTGGATCACAGCTTTGCTGTAATTCACAGCACAATGGGCCAGTAAACTTTTAAGCGGGAGCACCGAAAAAGAAGAATAATTGTTCTGTCTGAGCAAAAGAGCATGTGCTCATCAGCTGTAACAATAATGTGTGGAGTGCATTGTTGATTTTGAATGTTTTATTTCACAGTCTTTGCATTTAACTCTATGCCAGGTCAGTCTTTGCACCTAACTCTATTTATGCCAGGCCACAGTCTTTGCACCTAACCTATGCCAGGCAACAGTCTTTGCTCATAACTCTATGCCAGGCTACAGTCTTTGCACCTAACTCTATCTATGCCAGGCAACGGTCTTTGCACCTAACTCTATCTATGCTAGGCAACGGTCTTTGCACCTAACTCTATCTATGCCAGGCAACAGTCTTTGCACCTAACTCTATCTATGCCAGGCATCAGTCTTTGCACCCAACTCTATCGATGCCAGGCAACAGTCTTTGCACCTAACTCTATCTATGCCAGGCAACAGTCTTCACACATAACTCTATCTATGCCAGGCAACAGTCTTTGCACCCAACTCTATCTATGCCAGGCAACAGTCTTTGCACCCAACTCAATCTATGCCAGGCAACAGTCTTTGCACCTAACTCTATCTATGCCAGGCATCAGTCTTTGCACCCAACTCTATCTATGCCAGGCAACAGTCTTTGCACCTAACTCTATCTATGCCAGGCAACAGTCTTCGCACATAACTCTATCTATGCCAGGCAACAGTCTTTGCACCCAACTCTATCTATGCCAGGCAACAGTCTTTGCACCCAACTCTATCTATGCCAGGCAACAGTCTTTGCACCTAACTCTATCTATGCCAGGCAACGGTCTTTGCACCCAACTCTATCTATGCCAGGCAACGGTCTTTGCACCTAACTCTATCTATGCCAGGCAACGGTCTTTGCACCTAACTCTATCTATGCCAGGCAACATTCTTTGCACCTAACTCTATCTATGCCAGGAACTATCTATGCCAGGCAACAGTCTGCACATAACTCTATCTATGCCAGGCAACGGTCTTTGCACCTAACTCTATCTATGCCAGGCATGAGTCTTCGTACTCAACTCTGTCTATGCCAGGCAACAGGCCGTGCATTAGGCCAGATGAAGCACAGCTCTAACTTTCTTCTGTCATAGACAGTTTTATATATATTTTTTCCCCAACATATTGCTAGTTAACTTCATTCTGATGCATAATGTTGTTATTGTAGCCTTTTCATATCCAAGTATTGCTTACTCAGAAGAATGATTAATTGGATAAATGACTCATTTAGTTGGGAGGGGGGACTTGCTGCTCCCCCCCCCCCCCCCCCCCCCCCCCCCCAACAAGCATGTTGTACAGGGTGACTAATTAGGAACATTCCCCTATAAGCGGAGCGGAGCATCTGTGGGGTGACCCGTTTGCTATGAAGTTGAAACTAGGATTACCAGATTTCCCTATAAGTTGAAAGTGCATCTGCCTGATAGGCGAGGAACCAACAGTCTTTATACAAATAAGTCAGATGTGTACGCAAAACTTTGCCAGAGTTTAGCTTATGAACACTAGGAAGAAGTAGTTAACCAGGAAAACTGAGCAATTAAAATCTCAAAGAAGATTACAAAGACCAAAGCTGTGTTCAGCAAGATAAAAGTTGTCTCATTTTTTTTCTATCCGAGAATTGAATCACTTCCCTTTTTACCGCTTTGGGTGTCGAGGGAGATGTAAGTCTGCCTTTTTGCTCTTCTAGTCAGCTTGACCATAGACACATCCTGCACCTGTAGATTTTTTATAATGTTATCTTTCCATCTTGTTCTTGATCTGCCTCATATTCTATGTCCTTCTCCTCTTTTAGTGTATGCGTTGTATAGTGCCATAAGGCATTATCTCTAAATGGTGCTGAACAAGTAAAATTTATTTACTTGGGAAAAGGGGGCAGAGAGGTTGTACTGTGTATACCCTGTAACTTCCATCACTGAGACACCGTGATACATCCATCAAAAACATGATACATCCATCAGACATATAATACATTCATCAGATAATGATACATCCATCAGATACATGATACATCCATCAGATACATGATACATCCATCAGATACATGATACACCCATCAGATGCATGATACACCCATCAGATGCATGATACATCCATCAGATACATGATGCATCCATCAGATATATGATACATCCATCAGATACATGATACATCCATCAGATACATGATACACCCATCAGATACATGATACATCCATCAGATACATGATACATCCATCAGATACATGATACATCCATCAGATACATGATACATCCATCAGATATATGATACATCCATCAGATATATGATACATCCATCAGATACATGATACATCCATCAGATATATGATACATCCATCAGATACATGATACATCCATCAGATACATGATACACCCATCAGATATATGATACATCCATCAGATACATGATACATCCATCAGATACATGATACATACATCAGATACATGATACATACATCAGATACACGATACATCCATCAGATACATGATACATACATCAGATACATGATACATACATCAGATACATGATACATCCATCAGATACATGATACATCCATCAGATACATGATACACCCATCAGATACATGATACATACATCTGATACATACATCAGATACATGATACACACATCAGATACATGATACATCCATCAGATACATGATACATCCATCAGATACATGATACACCCATCAGATACATGATGCATCCATCAGATACATGATACACCCATCAGATACATGATACACCCATCAGATACATGATACATCCATCAGATACATGATACATCCATCAGATACATGATGCATCCATCAGATACATGATACATCCATCAGATACATGATACATACATCAGATACATGATACATCCATCAGATACATGATGCATCCATCAGATACATGATACATCCATCAGATATATGATACATCCATCAGATACATGATACATCCATCAGATATATGATACACCCATCAGATATATGATACATCCATCAGATACATGATACATCCATCAGATATATGATACATCCATCAGATACATGATACATTTATCAAATACAAAGTCAAAAATAAGATTTTAATCAAGTTTAATAGTTTTAGAGAATTATCAGAATGCATTTCTGTTTAAAGAAATTGAAAAAAGAAAGTCACTTTTAAAAGATTTTTACGGGCTAAAAGGGTTAAGAAAACAATTTAAAAGTTTTTTTTATAACACAGTTTAAGGTAGTTGCTAGCCATGATTATAAGCTTTTAAACACCAGCTCCAAATACTGGTTTTCTGGCTTTTTTTGAGCTCTAAGACTTGCAAGGATGTTATGATTTATGACTTATATTTGTTTTCCTGTGACAGCACCATTATTAAAACAGTATCAGAGGGTCATCAGCAACACTCAGCCTGCGTGTTTCACAGTAAAAATATGTATTATCATTATGTGACCAGGGGAAATCCTGTAACATCCTGTGGTTTATAGTAACAATTTGTTAATTATTAGGGGACCATCAGCAAGCAAATAACATCATGTTGTTAGCAAAAGGAAGAGTTAAAGTTAACATGTGAACAGCAACAAATATAAATTGCTGCATACAGGTGGACCTGGCATACAAGTCGACCTGGCATACAAAGTCTACCTGGCATACAAGTCTACCTGGCATATAAAGTCTACCTGGCATACAAGTCGACCTGGCATACAAAGTCTACCTGGCATACAAAGTCTACCTGGCATACAAGTCGACCTGGCATACAAAGTCTACCTGGCATACAAGTCGACCTGGCATACAAAGCTTACCTGGCATACAAGTCGACCTGGCATACAAAGTCTACCTGGCATACAAGTCGACCTGGCATACAAAGCTTACCTGGCATACAAGTCGACCTGGCATACAAAGTCGACCTGGCATACAAGTCGACCTGGCATACAAGTCGACCTGGCATACATGTCAGCCTGGCATACAAGTCAACCTGGCATACAAAGTCTACCTGCATACAAGTCAACCTGGCATACAAAGTCTACCTGGCATACATGTCAGCCTGGCTTACAAGTCAACCTGGCATACAGTCTACCTGCATACAAGTCAACCTGGCATACAAAGTCTACCTGCATACAAGTCAACCTGGCATACAAAGTCTACCTGCATACAAAGTTGACCTGCATACCAGTCAGCCTGGCATACAAAGCTGACCTGCATACCAGTCAGCCTGGCATACAAAGCTGACCTGCATACCAGTCAGCCTGGCCTAAAAGTCGACCTCAAGATTTTGAGCTCAGAATTCTCAGGCCTTTACCTACCTGACATATTTTATACCCACCATATTTTGACCCTTAGTTTGGAAAGGTCTTTTATGCTTGAAAATTCGACTTTATGCTACAATTTATGTTATGCAATATATAAAGGGACACAGTAGAAGTATATAACATTATAATGTGATAGAAATTATAATGAAAGTATATCATGTGGTCCATCAGATCAAGAATGGCCAAGTCTGCATCTGTGACTATGATCTGCTAACTTTTGTCTGAGCTGGCATTACTCCCATCCTCCCTGATCCACTCCAGGACATGTGGGGTGAAATATGTAATCAGGATATCTGCACCTGTACAAATGATTGCAAAATATTATGCAAAGAAATGTTCAAAATAATACTTTCCATGGTGGATTTAAATAATGCTGACTCAAAACAATGTTTTCCATTGTGAATTTAAATAATGCTGACTCATAACAATGTTTTCCATAGTGAACTTAATGCTGACCCAACATTTTCTTTAGTGAACCTAAATAATGCTGACTCAATGTTTTCCATAGTGAATTTAATTAATGCTGACTCAAAACAATGTTTTCCATAGTGACTTTAAATAACGCTGACTCAGAACACTGTTTTCAATAGTGAATTTAAACAATGCTGACTCAAAGTTTTCCATAGTGAATTAAAATAATGCTGACCCAAACAATGTTTTCCATAGTGAATTTAAATAATGCTGACTCAAAGTTTTCCATAGTGAATAAAATAATGCTGACCCAAAATAATGTTTTCCAAAGTGAATTTAAATCATGCTGACTCAAAGTTTTCCATAGTGAATTTAAATCATGCTGACTCAAAACAATGTTTTCCATATTGATTAAAATAATACTAACACAAACGATACATTGCACAATTTATTGCCTGGCTTATTTTACTGCATCTCGTCAGTTGTATTACTATAGGGTTACCTCGCAAATGAGTAATGAAATTGTTACCGAAATATACGAAACAAACAAATATAAAAAGAAATACATAATGGGGGAGATTGTACCTGGACACATGAATATAAAACACAGCACCAAGAAAATGCCAGTTTTTCCCAAATATTACTATTACTTGCATTAGAAAAGGACAGTTTGCATTGCTGCGTGAGAAAGTGGAAACTGGTGACAATTTGACTGGGGGGAGAGGCAATGTGAGACAAGTCACAAGATGCTGGACAGTTAGGCATCATGGCATGAAAGACATCTAGGTCAGAAATGATTAACAGTGGGTGAGACAGAGCTGTGACAGACATAATTACCAATGTATCACAACATGGAGTCTCAATATAGAACACATACTGCAAGAGCACACATAGACACGTATATATGCAAATCATTTATGAGACATAGCACTCGAACCCCAGCCTCTGTTTGATGTTTACATTTTATTAAGCAATTGTACATTCAGAAGTTTGCTATTGTTTTCTGTATGGTTCAATGCTCACAGTGTTGTCGACATAAGTGCAAAGCAGTAGGCTACTAAATCACCTGTAACTTAATCACATCTAGCATGTCAGAATTATAAAACTGTTCATAATGACTAAGCTACGGACATGTGCACTCTTTCTTTGTGTGTGTGTGTGCACACATGTATGCACCCAAACACATACACAGTCAAAAAGTATCAAGAGCTGAGCAGTGTCCTGACACAATAATCTCACATCCAGACAAAGAACTTCCACTGCAGCTTTAAAGGTAAAGAAAGAGCAGACTACCTGGCAAACAGTGGAAGTCATACAAAACGGCCAGATACAGAATGCATTTGTAAGGGAAATATAACTCAGATCAAGGCAGCCATTAGAACCCACTGGAACACTTCCCATCTAGGACACGATCCTGAAAACCAATCAACCTCATATAAAAGACCATTTTTTTGTAGACTTTATACCAGAAACATCAGATTCTGAGACCATATGTACAAGATATTCAAGATTAGAGATTCAAAACTTGGCCTATGTAGACAGGCACCATGGGATACTGAATATATGCTACATACCTGCTCTCTAAATACAGGAGAGAGATCTCAGGTTTGTCAGGATGGCATTCTAATGAGACCTATGCTGTACAGATAGCAGAAAACATGTGTCACACCACAGACTGCACATAAGCCTGTGGCCTTCTCATCTTAAAACCAGTGGCAGAGAGAACAAAAAGAAGAAAACAATAACAATACATGTAGTATATCAAGTGGCGCACCTGCTCGTCTCATGCTCTGCAACATCTCCATCACTGCTGTCTTCAGGTCAAAAGCACCAGCTGCAGCAGCGTGGTACAACATGGCGTACTCCCCTGATACGTTGTAGATTGCCAAAGGATGAGTCGGGTACTGCAGGACATGTGATACACAAATATAAGAACACACAATTTTCCAATGCAACATACGGGGTGAAACAAAAAACATAGAAATGTAAATGTCACAACAGAATATCTAAGAATATGAAATATGACAAAGAATGAATGAAAATAAGTTGAAGACAGTATAAATTATAAGAACAGAATATGCTGGTATATAAACAATATACAAAAGCATAAACAATATAACAGTAAATACTGGTATATAAACAATATAAGAACAATATACAAAAGCATAAACAATATGATAACAGAATATACAGGTGTACAAGAATATTACAACAAAATAAACTACCAAGTTCATACTAGAGATAACAAAAATATTTAGCATATGAATGAATGCTTTGAAGTAAAATCCTTTTCTTCTTCACTTCCTTTTTTTACCGTTTCATTTGTGGAGGGAGATGTAAGGTTCTGTTTCCTGCTCTTCTGGCCACCTCAATCACTCAGTCAAAGAAACATTGTGCTGTTGTAGAGTTTCTCTTATCTTTCCATATGATTCTTGGTCTACCTTGTGTTCTACATCCTTCTCCTCTTTTAGTGTTTGCCTTGTATGGTAAAGTGTTACAAGGCATTCTCTCTAAGTGGGCAAACCACTTGATCTGCTGTCTTTATATGGAATTTAGAATGGGTTCTTTGCCAACTTTTTCTCCTTATGATCTTGTTTCTGGTTTTTATCTCTTCGGTCACTCCTGCAGCCCTTCTCAGAGATCTCATTTCTATGGTTACCCTCTTTTATGGTTTGTTTTGAGTGATCATGTTTGGCACGGGTAGGATGAAGTGGTAATGAATGTGCTTTGTATGAGATGTTTCTTTGTGCTGACTGTGATTTGTCTTATGCTGTAAAAGGGGAGTCTGCTGTCCCAGTACTTGGTTTGCTTTACTGCATCTTAAGTTAATATATTCATTCATTCTCCCCTCCTTGGTTTATGTTGTCCGCAGATATTTAAACAGATGCCTGTTTTGAACTAAAATACATGTATCAAATTTAAATGCGCTTTATCAGGGTATATGCAAGTTTACAACTATGTGCTTCTCCTTTTCTCACATTATAATAGACTTGTGAGAATCCTCAGAAAAAAAAAGAGGCAGCGTTTTAAAACAAGAGTCAGTAATTTAAAAACAGATATCTACAAATGTTTCATTTGTTACTCTGGTTCTTAATGTGTAGCTCTTTCATGATTTACACAAAAAAGGGCATTGTCTACACAAAATTGGTTGTGAATGGTTGATAGGAGCTGCTTTAACCCTCTTAGCACGGACGGGCCGATTATCGGCCGGCGGATGTCTAGCCAAAAACACGGAACGGCCGATGATCGGCCCGATCGTGTTTCGCCTCGAACCGCTAAGAAATCTCCTACTTTGAAACACTGAAAGTGATTCATTTATATTAACTGCGGTATCAGCTTTACACATGGCGACTTTCGAGTGTTTGGTATATAAAAGTATGTCTGACTCGTATGTTTCTGCCCCTAAACTTGATGTTGATAAAACATTTGAATCAAGTGATGACACTAATTCTGTTGATACTGATGCAGGATTTAGTGTTAGTAGTAATAGTGGGAATCAGATTGGGACGCTGTTGTGCTCAGACCACAGCCCAACCATGGCTCAGGGTATATCCACCCGAAGGTGTTGACACTCCGGCACATCCATTTTTAGTGCTAACTGATGGTGAAAAACACATGTCACCTAAAGATATTATTGCTGTTTCACATATATATACCTGTTTTTGACTATTGAATTGCTTACTACATTTGTAAAAAGGCCAAAGATCAATAAAAAGATTTCAAATAAAAAAAATTTTTGTTTTTAGTTTTATGTTTCAAGCATTGAAGTTGAAAATTCAAATTCATATTTTCTATTTTTAGGTATGCAAATGAGATAATTTGCATATACATCAATTAATTTTAACGATATTGTGAAAATCACGAACTTCAATCTATATCCTTCAAATAGATATATTATTTTATAGAGGTCAGAATAACAGAAATCTGTCAAAAAAATTTAATAAAGTAATAACCAAATTCACTGAAAAAATGCTCCGTGTTTTTGGCTAGACCTCTGAAAAACTTCCCGTGCTAAAAGGGTTAATAATTACAAGCGGTCTACAATAATTCAATGTATGCAGAATTTGGAATAAGTGGTGCTAGTTAACTACGTGGAAAAAAGTTTGTTGCACATCCTTTACAAGGCTTTGCAGAATCATCCCTAACATTTACTGATTAGTTTTACTAGACAATTTTATTTTCAGTAATTTGCCTTTGCTTTTTGAATGGTTACCTCTCAATACCATTATGAAAATCACCTTCACCTGGAATTGAACTGGGAACATTGGAAAAATAAAGCCTGTTCGCAACACCTAAGCAACAGACACCGACCGTAACTATGTGCTCAGAGTTAAAAATGGGGAGTCGCCATGGCCGAACGGCTAAACGCTCATCGCGGATCGGAAGGTCGTGGGTTCACTCCCTGGCAGAGCCGGACGTTTTTAAAAAATGACCTTTGCTCCCAGGTCGACCCAGCCTTGAGTGGGTACCAGGTTCAGTCCCGGGAAAGTAAAAGCGGCCGGCGTGATGATGACTACATCACTCATCTTGTGTCAATTGGTCTATAAAAATATAGGTCTAGCCCTATATGCCCTATACACCTGATGACGTGGAAAAGGGTCCTTTACTTTCCTTTACTTTACTTACAGAGTTAAAAATATAACACATAAGGGTGAGATGTGGATAGATTCATTGATTTGCTCCACGTTATTTGATTCGGTAGTATGCCACTGCTAAGGCACAGAAAATATGGCAGTGAGTAAATTTTTGCAGTTTGTGTCATCTTTGTTCAAATTTACAACAGGAAAACATTGCTTTGACTTACCTTAATGTTAAAGGTCTCAAACTGAGTATAAACAACCTGACAGACATAGTTTTTCTGTAATTAGACAATCATTGTGCAGTTAACAACCTCTTACCTTTTGTTTGAGGAGCCTGACAACATCTAGATATGGTAAGCCAGGTTTGACCATCAGAAAATCAGCCCCCTCCCCAACATCACGGTCCTGAAAAACAACACAACAGTGAGAACCAGTATCAACATTCAGTAAAAAATAATTATTAATAATATTCTTTCCTCTCTCTATCCTTCAAACTTACACACACAAAAATGTATATCCTAACTGCCTATTATGATAGACTTTTGTGAGAATCCACAAAAAAGAGGGAGCAATTTAAAAAAGAGCCAGTAATTTAAAAACAGATATCTACAACTTTTTCATTTCTAACTCTGGTTCTTAATGTAAAGCTCTTTCATGCATTATCCAAAAAATGGCATTTTCCTAATCAATTATTTTTTTCAAGTTGCCCTCTCGATCTTTTATCTTGAACATGCTCAACATATTCCACTTCTATTTTATATTTCACTTCTATCCTCCGTCTGTTAGATTTTGCTCCTAATTTTCATGTGCCATATATCATTTTGATCTTGCTTGTTTTAGATACAACTTCTATCCTTGTCAGATTCTGTTTGTATTGCTCTTTGAGATTCTGCTCACATCTCCTCTGTCAGATTCTGTTCCTATCCTCTCTGTCAGATTCAGTTCATATTCCTCCGCTAGATTTTTACAGCTGAATGCTGCAAACAGTATTCTCACAGCTCAAAAGAAAAAAAAAGGAACACCTTATCAGGCTACGGAAATGTTACACTCAGAACAAGAGATTGATCAACACGATGGCATAATGTACATTATACCTCAGGAAAGAATACAGAGAAAAGAACAAACAAGATCCTAATGTTCTTTTACATCCCAGGGTAGAAAAAGAGAGACTAAATAAGTAAATGCCACATCTCGACAGCTTCCACAAAATTTTTCATTAAGCAGTTTATTTTCCATGATTCACTTCCATAGATTAATACTGGTCAGCCTGAACATCACAAAGTTATGGTGCAATGTAACATAAATACCACTATCTATGCTTGTGAACTACCATGGCTCATAATTGAAAGCCAACAGAGCTAAAAGGGTAGAAGAAGATAAAAGACAATGTTTCTGTACTTACAGCTGCTCTCTCTGCCAAGCCAATTGACCCTGGTGGCAGCTGGTAACACTTTCTGTCACCAAAAACTGTATCACTTTTTGTTGCTTCTCTGTAGACAGATAACATACTAATAACAAATAGATGCCAGTTTTTTTTCTTCTTTCATGCTCACCCTCAACTCTTTACAGACTGGTCGCCACTTAATTGGCTTTTGAATCTATTCTGTTCAGACTATTCGCAACTATAGTGGCGCTTCATAGAGACACTCTAATTTTGTTTCGTTTGCTGGGAATTGAACATGTTTTGAAAAACCAGAATTAGCTAAACAAAGTCCTTTCATTTTTGAAGTTCGGCATGGTATTTGCCTCACTTTCTGATTTGTTTTAAATTAAGTAGATGTGATACAATTTTTTGTGATTTTTTCCCCACACCAAATGATAAGGGAAAAGGTGTAGAACTGTTCATACTACTTGTCTTTAATAAATCTCAGTCTGATAGTGACAATAATCTTGATATTATGACTGATAATGCAGGTGCCAAACCTACTGCCAGTAATTTAGGTTAGGATGAAGATTGAATGAAATATCTGAATCGGACCATCTCTGTTTCGATCAGCTGTTTTCCAGATTTTGGTTGTTGTGAAATCTGACTTGTCATGCAAAAAAGGTCATAACATCCAAAGTATTTAAATTAATTGTTTTAAGTAAAGAGTACTGATACATAATTAAACAGAGAAGGCATATGAATTCTTACAAATGGATGGTAGTGTTGGTGAACAAGTAAGTAAACAGTAAGGTAAGCACAACATTGCTTGAGTGAATAATCTTCATGTGTCTAACATTCTTGAATGTTGTGTGATTTTGATAATATTTTGTTGCACTACTGCTGCTTAAAAAGTTTAGATTTATTCGGCACTCTTTTTTATTTAATTTGATATATAATATGTCCTGATACAGCCAATTCTTTTTCTTCAGGAAGGTTTTAGCTTTGTCATGCTGAAGTAAAAAAAAAAATATGCTCAAAACTAATGCTGTCCAGACCCCTGAAAAAAATGTCCCCAAAGTGCTAAAAGGATGGTTTGCACAATATGCCATGATTAACGGCTAGGCTGCAATAACTGCACCTTCAGTGGATCCCAGGTACAGTCCTGGGAAGTAAAGGCGGCCGGCATGATGCTGACCACTTCTCCCACTGAGTGCCGATTGGTCTACAAAATATAGGTCTAGCCCTATAGGCCAAATATGCATGAAGGCATGAAAACGGGTTCTTTACTGTACTTCTTTACTTACTGGAAATGATGGGTTAAACAAATGGTACTGAGATTATGAGGATTAAATGAATGTACTTAAGACGTAGTAGAGTTTCTGGAAGTAGAGGCAGATGCCCACCTCCGCTAAATGTGGATAGAGGACAGGGAAGATGCATTGGCTATGAAGGCATTTAGGGCTAGAGAGTGAGAGATTTTAAGCATGCTGTGACAGAAGCAATGTTCTGTAAAGAACTGCTGACTAATGATAATGATAATTGAAGATGATGGTGATGAAATAAAGAATGCTGAGGATGATTTTAACAAGCACAGAGCATTAAAAACAATGTAAAAATCACAAGTTCAACAACAATACTGGGGGTGAATAAGAAACAAAAAGTCCTTGAATACTAAATGATGGTGTGATATCGTGAAAGTTGTCTCCGATTCATGAGGGTTATCCCAGTAATAGAAAAACTAAACCTGAAACATTAAGCTTGTCCCAGTAACAGGAAGGGTGAACCTGTAACATTAAACTTATCCCAATAACAGGAACCTACTACAAAATTAGAAACAGTCTGTGGTAAATATGGCATGGAAATTAATGCAGAGAAAAGCAAGATTCTGGTAAATAGTTGCAATAACCAAGTACCCACCAACATACAGATAAAAGGAAAAAACTAAAAGTTGAAACCTTTAAATATCTTGGCTCCCACATATGCAATGATGGCAGCAGTACCAAACAGATCAAGACAAGACTTGATATGGCAACAGCCGCGATGTCGCAGCTGAATACAATGTGGAAGAGCAAAATCAGCATCGCAGTCAAGGTAATATTTATAAATCACAGGTGTTGTCTATTTTCTTATACTGGTATGAGGGACTCTCACTGTGGAAATGGAAAGGAGGATTCAGGCTTTCAAATGTAAATGCTAAAGACGCATTTTTTGAATTAGTTATTCAGAACACAAAACTAATAAATATGTCAGAGACAAAATGTACAAATTTGTGGGACAACTGGAGTCTCTCTTGGCAGTGGTAAAACGTTACACGCTAGCTTGGTTTGGGCACGTGGTGAGACATGATTCGATTGCAAATACTAAACTTCAAGGAACATGGGGGGGGGGGGGGGGTAGTCGAAGAAGAGGACGGCAAAGAAAAATCGGTAATGAAAACATCAAGAAATGGACAGGACTAAGGTATCATACACTTATTCATCAAGCATAAGACAGAGAAAGATGGAGGGTTTTATATGCTAGTGATTCCATCAATTCACCTCCACGACCCTAATGGGTCAAGGGTTATGTTATGTTTTTATGTAATAACAGGAAAACTGTCCCTATAACATTACACATATCCCAGTAACAGGAAAATTGTCCTGGTATCGTGAAACATATCACAGTAACAGGAAAAATGTCTCTGTAATTTTAAAGTTATCCCAGTAACAGGAAAACTGTCCCTGATACATTACACATATCTCAGTAACAGGAAAATTGTCCCTATAACATTACACATATCTCAGTAACAGGAAAAATGTCTCTGTAATTTTAAAGTTATCCCAGTAACAGGAAAACTGTCCCTGAAACATTACAATTATTGCAGAAGTGGGATAACTGAACCTGTGACAATAAACTTATCACAGTAAGAGCAAAAGTAAGCATGTAACATTAGTCTTGTGCCAGTAACTGGAAAACTTGAAACTGTATCATTAAACTTATACCAATAACAGGAAAACTGTCCCTATAACATTACACATATTGCAGTAGCAGGACAATTGTCTGGGTATCATAAAACATATCGCATTTAAACTTATCCCAGTAACAGGAAAATCGTCCCTGTAACATTAAATGTATCCCAGTAACATGATAGTTGTCCCAGAAACTGAAACAGATTTGAAGCTTTTGACAGCAGTGATATACTATGCCCCCAACATCATGGATAAATTTGGTCGAACAAACCTATATGGACCATAGAAACTAGAAGCAAACTTTGCACTGTAACTCATCACAGAAACAGTGTTGCCCATGTTGTGTTTAAAGAGTGCTTTCTTGATTGCTCCAATGCGACCGTCCATTATGCCAGAAGGGGCGATCACTTGGCAACCTGGGGTCAAAATAGAAACAGATTACAGTGGAACAGATTTTGAACAAAACATTTACTGTATTGTTAAGGTTTCTTCTTTTAAAACTAAACAGTGCGATTTTATTTCTTCTTCGTTAGCCCTTTAAAGGATAGCTGGCAAATTGTGTGTATTACAGTAACAGTGTGATTTTATTTCTTCTTTGTTATCCCCTTAAAGGATAGCTGGCAAATTGTGTGTATTACAGTAACAGTGCTATTTTATTTCTTCTTTGTTAGCCCTTTAAAGGATAGCTGGCAAATTGTGTGTTTTACAGTAACAGTGCGATTTTATTTCTTCTTTGTTATCCCTTTAAATGATAGCTGGCAAGTTGTGTGTATTACAGTAACAGTAATATTTGCACTTTTCTGCCCAACATGGTTCTGCATGGTCTTGAGGTATGGTGTCCGCCTCGAGTGCTAGAGGTCCCAGGTTCAAGCCCCGGTGAAGGCTGGGATTTTTTCTGTTTACGTGGACTTCTAGTAATTTCCCCTGGTTTCTGGGTAGTGAGATTGGATGCCAGTGTGTATTGTTGCGCATGTAAAAAATCCCTTATCAGTTGGAAATTGAAAAAAGTAGCCTAATGTCACAGCCTGGGCACAATTTGTAGATAAAAATCTACCCAAAGTATTTCAGGATCCTCGTCGGTGCTATGGAGCAGGTGCACTGCGCTGAGCTACCTTAGACTCAGACTTGAGTTAGAAGTAGAATTGAGCACTTATGAGTTACTAGTGCCATGATGTTGATCCATTGTTCAAACCTCAAACCTGCCCAACATATCTGCAATGACTGTCTGGGATCTATTTTTGCAGCCTGCTCAGGCACATTGACAAAAACCTAAACTCAGTAAGCTTGAAATACGAACAAACATTGAAAAGACTGAGCAGATGATAACTACTCTGTTTATGGCTCCATCGTTGTTCCTCAGTCAATAAGCCAATTTCAGCAAACACCTTATTTAGTCACTTTTTATATGACATGCTTGCTTTGCAAGCAGTGGGTCTGTTCTTTCCCTCACCTTCCTAGCTTCCCAAAATGGGTCCTCGGATCCCACATGAAGAGTAATCAAAAGTAAAATTATGAACCCTTTTTACACCAGTGGTGTACTGGCATATGATTCTAGGCTCATAATTTTATATACCTTCATGCCTTGATGGCTGATGTGGTGAACATCCCGCTGGCCGCCTTTACTTCCTAGTATATTACCTGGTACCCATTTGAGGCTGGGTCAACCTGGCAGCTTAGATTATTCTTAGAAAAAAGAAAGCTGACTCAATGTGGATTCCAGCCCACAGTCCTAGGGCTGGCAGGCTAATGGTCTAGCCACTGCACCACCGCAGCTACATGAGGATTACTGTGGATTTATTATGTAATCAAGCAGATGTCAGCCAGACTGGCAGCAAGTGTGCTAGCATGAATTCTGCTGTTTCTTTCAACTAAGCCATATCTTATAGACTTTTGCATGTGTCTCTGTTTCTGGTAATGTGTCTATGTAAATGTATCTCTCTTTCCCTCCACACTTCTCTCTCTCTCTCTCTCTCTCTCTCTCTCTCACTCTCACACACACACATCAATAATTATTATCACAGACTCACCAGCCTTAGCATATGCGACAGCAATTTCCCCTAATCTCTCAATGCTAGGTTCATTGTCTATACTTCCATCAGGTCGCAGGAAACCTAGTTGATCATCAGAGAAAACAAAAACATTGCTAGGGTAAAATTAAAAATTGTAAACACAGGAAATAATACAAAATATGTCATTTCAGGGTTCAATTAATAAGAGGATGTACACAAGTTTAGGGGAAAATGTAAGTGTCAAATCAAAGGGGAATCTAAAATAAAATAAAAAATATTATGTTGTTTTTCACATACTGTCAGAAAAACAAAATGATATATAAAAAAATAAAATATATGATCTCTTCCTATTGCTTAGAATTAAGGGGAGGAGCCGAATGCTAGACTGTCGTGTGGAAGAATCAGGTTGTAAAAATTATTTGTGCCAGATTGTGGCACCGTTACTTTGTGCTCAACCATACACCTTCTTGGCTATTGGAAATTAGATATAAATTAATTAAACGGGTCATTAAAGTTGATGAAGATATATTTTCTTCTTCTTCTACTTCTTCAGTCTTTCATCTCGTTCATGAAGCATAAGCCCTCAGCCAACTCATATATCAAACTTCTGTAGATCTTCTCATGTTTGGTTGGGTTCTGCATCTAGTCTTTACATGAGGATAAGATTCAGTCACTTCAAGTAAAATGCAAGACATATGGATTTTAGCCTTGATGCTACTTTTTGCTTCTAACAATGGTTTGCTTATGCCATTTCCCAAAATATGCTGGAGTCTATGGGATGCCAAAATACCTTATGCAATAATTTTGTGTTATTATGGTCAGGTAAAATAACTGGCTACTTACTTCCATCAGCAAAATACAATTCTGGTGGCAAATGTTTGAGCTTGCATCTCTAGCAGCAGCTTATGCATTTACAGTAAAGTTACACATAGATGATATTTTCCAGTATATATGATATCTTTAACATTACACCAAAAGTCATCTGAGATTGCCTCTATAGTTTCAGGCAAAACATAAAGCTTCTGTTTTCTTCTTCTTCATGTTCACTTGCTCAAAACTCCAGCAGAAAGTCGAGGTTGTGACATCACAGGATAGTTCAACATTTTAGAGAGTGGTAAGACTGGGTTTCCAGGCTTTCTGATGATTTTAACGACCCCAAAACACCTAGAACTGGCCCTAACCCCCAACTCACCTACGTCCCATGAGAGAGTGCAGTCTAGGTCCCATGACTGCATGCAACCTAGGTCCCACGACTGCATGCAGCCTATCATCCACCCCATGAAATATTTCTGTAATGTGACCTGTGGATTTGCCCTGTTTGGGGTAGGATTTTAATAAGCACCCTATGATGACCCTGGAGAGGTATAGGCAGATCTTGACCAGTGACAGCCTGGTCCTGGTGCATCCCCATGTGTGATTCAGCATCTCAGGATCCAAAAGCTTTCATTGATGGTAACCTCCAGAATCATCTCAGACAACTTAGAATAAATACTGAGTGTAAAGTAATGTAGTTAAAAAGTAAATCATACCACAGTGACCATGTGAAGTATATGAACACAGACAGAGATCGCAGACAATCAGCAACGATGGGAACAAGTTGCGTAACTTCTGTATGGCCAGAATCACAGGTGTATCTGGGGCATCAGCAGCGGACCCTCTCTTATCCTGAAATGTCAATATTATCACAGATCTTTGAATTTCAAAAAGAATCAAAGTAGAACCCATTCCTACTACTTTCTGTAACATCTAATTAGCTATTTGACCGTGTTCAAATGTCAAGAAAATTCAATTCTCCTTCATCTTGTAGTTGGCATCTGTGGTTTATAGCTTATGAAGGTAAGCTTTGATTTATGAAGCTTTGATTTAACTTTAGGTGATGAGCAGCAAACCAATTTGCATTAAAATGGACAATGGGTATGGAGACCTGACATTTCAGGGCCAGTGGCTCCTGGGCTCCTGAATGTAAAGTTGCTAGTCAAACCACCAATAGCCAACATATGCTGGAGTTGATTTTCAACAACCTGTAAGGTACATGCAACTAGCGTTTTTTTTTTTTAGAAACTCAAATTTGATGTCCTGTGTCATAAGTCATAATTTTTTTATTTTTTTTTGACAGCCTTCTTTCACTTGTACTGCCAATAGTTTCAGTTGCAGAGGTTTCTCCCTGCCATGATGCTAACTGTCTAAGACATTCTCTTTTGGTCACTTTTTCCTATGAACTTTCTTGTTGTTCAACATATGCCAGTTTCCCTTTCATGACATCACCAAATAATGCAGACTGCCACCTTCTGATTTGGGTAGCTCGTTTTCTTTCAGAGTTAATTTCTTTTAAGAAGTTTTCGTTAAACTTTTATATGTCCAAGGTGTTCTCATCATTCCTCTAGTGAAATCAGCCAATTAGTGAAAAATGATGTGAAATCTACAGAAAATTTTTCACTAATTGGCTGACTTTGCTAGAAGAATAATGGAAACATCTTGGGCATATAAATGCAATGCTTTCGATTTAATTCACGCCAAACAAAGAAAATACAGTAGCACCCAGGAAAGCCTAATATTATAGGAGTGTTACTGTTTGAAATGAACAGACTAACCCCAATTCTAGTCCTAACTATACTTCTTATAGATGTCTGGTAACTACATTCCTTCTAGATGTCTGGTAACTACATTCCTTCTAGATGTCTGGTAACAACATTCCTTCTAGATGTCTTGTAACTACATCCCATCTAGATGTCTGGTAGCTACATCCCATCAAGATGTCTGGTAGCTACATTCCTTCTAGATGTCTGGTAACTACACTCCTTCTAGATGTCTGGTAACTACATTCATTCTAGATGTCTGGTAACTACATCCCATCTAGATGTCTGGCAATTACATCCCATCTAGATGTCTGGTAACTACATTCCTTCTAGATGTCTGGTAACTACATCCCATCTAGATGTCTGGTAGCTACATTCCTTCTAGATGTCTGGTAACTACATTCCTTCTAGATGTCTGGTAACTACATTCCTTCTAGATGTCTGGTAGCTACATTCCTTCTAGATGTCTGGTAACTACATTCCTTTTAGATGTCTGGTAACTACATCCCATCTAGATGTCTGGTAGCTACATCCCATCTAGATGTCTGGTAACTACATTCCTTCTAGATGTCTGGTAACAGATGTCTGGTAACTACATTCCTTCTAGATGTCTGGTAGCTACATTCCTTCTGGATGTCTGGTAGCTACATTCCTTCTAGATGTCTGGTAACTACATTCCTTCTAGATGTCTGGTAGCTACATTTCTTCTAGATGTCTGGTAGCTACATTCCTTCTAGATGTCTGGTAACTACATTCCTTCTAGATGTCTGGTAACAGACGTCTGGTAGCTACATTCCTTCTAGATGTCTGGTAACTACATCCCATCTAGATGTCTGGTAGCTACATCCCATCGAGATGTCTGGTAGCTACATTCCTTCTAGATATCTGGTAACTACACTCCTTCTAGATGTCTGGTAACTACATTCCTTCTAGATGTCTGGTAACTACATCCCATCTAGATGTCTGGCAATTACATCCCATCTAGATGTCTGGTAACTACATTCCTTCTAGATGTCTGGTAACTACATCCCATCTAGATGTCTGGTAGCTACATTCCTTCTAGATGTCTGGTAACTACATTCCTTCTAGATGTCTGGTAACTACATTCCTTCTAGATGTCTGGTAGCTACATTCCTTCTAGATGTCTGGTTGCTACATTCCTTCTAGATGTCTGGTAACTACATTCCTTTTAGATGTCTGGTAACTACATCCCATCTAGATGTCTGGTAGCTACATCCCATCTAGATGTCTGGTAACTACATTCCTTCTAGATGTCTGGTAACAGATGTATGGTAGCTACATTCCTTCTAGATGTCTGGTAACAGATGTCTGGTAACTACATTCCTTCTAGATGTCTGGTAACAGATGTCTGGTAACTACATTCCTTCTAGATGTCTGGTAACTACATTCCTTCTAGATGTCTGGTAACTACATCCCATCTAGATGTCTGGTAACAGATGTCTGATAGCTACATTCCTTCTAGATGTCTGGTAACAAAATCCCTTCTAGATGTCTGGTAACTACAATCCTTCTCGATGTCTGGTAACTACAACCCTTCTAGATGTCTGGTAACTACAATCCTTCTCGATGTCTGGTAACTACAATCCTTCTTGATGTCTGGTAACTACAAACAACATAAACATTTCTTCTGTTTATGATGTTGTGAGTATCTGTACATATGCTCTGTGTTGAGGGGCAGATAAAGAGCATCGAGGTTCATAGTAAAAGCGAATGGACTTCACTTAGTGCAACAAAGCCTGGCACATGATATCACAACGTCTAGTTTGAGAATGGTGGTGGAGGCAGTCACTGCTGCCTTCCACTGGCTTAAAAATCAGCTGTACACACATGTTGTGATTGTAACTGACTCACATAGCATGTTGAAAAAGGTGAAGACAGGCATGCTGTGTGCAGAGTGGCAAGCATCACTTCAGAGGTCCTGGGTAGTTAAAATTATTTCGATATTTTATCTAGGTCATGCTGGTGTGTTGGGAAATGAGTAGGCAGACAGACTGACACTTGGTGGTGAACTGATATATAACATGTTAGATATTGTAAGGGCCCTTTGGGATACTGACATTTGGTGGTGAACTGATATATAACAAGCTAGATATTGTGAGGGTCCTTTGGCAGCGAGTGAACAGTGTGAAAACACTGTGGTCAATTAATCTATCCTTACCTTTTCTAAATGTTCAGGAACTCCAAACAAAAGGACAGCACTCAGTCCCTTTTCTACAAGGGGTCCTAGTGCTTCCTCTAGCCTATTGATCCCATACCTGCTCTGACCAGGCATGCTTCTGATTGGCTGAACTGCATCTGGGTCATCTCTGTGAGAAAGAAAGGATTGCAGAATATTTTACAAAAACAAAGGACACAATAAACTTTTAGATACTGTTCCACTCATGTGGTTCTACAGAAGAATGTTGAACATTAATTGTACACAGAAAATGAGTCATCTAGACCACGACTTTTAAAATAGATTGGTAAGTCAACAAGATAACTTGAAGAAGCAGTCGTCATTTGTTTTTAAATGACATTATTAGAAGAAAATAAGCTAGAACATGTGACAACTGGAAAAATGGATGGAAGAGAACACAGGGACAACATACAATGATTCTCAGTCTTTGGTCAGGCATGGGAAGGTGTGGCAGTACAAATTAATACACAGTGATGGGGTTGCAAGATAAACAAAGTATGACATTGTTAAAGAATACATTTCCCCTGTATTTACCTCTTTGTTTCTTCTGGTGTAGGAACAGGACTTTTGAGTCTGAGGATTTCAGTTGCATGCCTGATGCAGTCACCACAGACTGCAGGATAGGATTTTATTTTTACTCCCAGAAAAACAAATATTACCAAGGATTTACATGTGGGTATCTTGCCCAGCAATCGTAACCATTTGGTCAGCCACTTCTATAAAGCATGACTACCTACGCCAATCGGCAAGCACTTGATAATGTTTCCTACTTAGTGAACATGTAAATTAGTAAGACAACTTTATGATTCATCTAGTGTAGGAAAGGTTCCTTACATTTGGTGCCCCATTCCTAGAACAGCATCTGCCAAAGAAATCAATGAATTTTGTTACCAGCTTCACCCTTCTTTGTAATTTGGTGGATTCATGAAAACAGGATGACATGGGCTGTGTTGTATGCAGGGTGGAAAAGGGCGGCCCAGGGTGGGGGGGGGGGGGGGGGGTCACGAAGAGAATAAGGGTAAGTGAGAAGATGACTGCAAACAGGCTCAGAACTGAGTGTCTCAGAAGGAGCACACTAAATGCATGCTATGACGACAAACATCCTGAAATTCCCTACTCTAACTGTGGCAAACATTCTTTTTAAACACAAGTAGGGCTTAACTACTAGTTCTACCTATCTCCATGGGGTGTGATTCATATGCCTTCA